CAAACAAGAAAGAATTATAATGTTTGCCTTTCTATTACTAATAATATATAAGCAATCGTTATAAGACTTTTTGTATACATTAATTTCATTGTTTAACCGTTCTGATCATTAGACAGACTTCTATCCGTATTTAGACAGAACTGTTAACGACGACGGCGAACAATAGGGAGAATGTGAGCACTTTGTGCCCAGGCGCTGCCGTTCTCAGTGCCGTAAAAATAAAAGTCCCGCCTCGAACGTATCGGCAAAACAAGAAAACTTATCGGCCGATGCCGATATTTAAAAAATGCCAAATATCGGCCGATATATCGGCCTTGGCGATATATCGGTCGACCACTAATATTTGCTAGTTTTGTTTTTTTCTAAACGGTTTTAATTTTTTATCAAAGTTTAATTTTCAGTTAGTAAATTTCAGTTATTGAATAATTTCATTGAATAATTTGAATTGTCTTTGTTCTCAGCAGTGTTGTTGCCGTTAACTAAAACTAACTATTTGTGTTGACCAATTAGTTCTATCAATCAATTGATCATTCTATTAACCAAATGCTGTTTGATAACAAAAATTATCAGCTTGAGTCATTTTCCCACGTGTCACTGTATGTATTGATTGTGTCATGGATATTACAGCTGTCATCCTCTGAAGGGGGAGTGTACCTGTCAGCCTGGGTGGGCGGGGCTATACTGTAATGAAACCTGTGCTCATGGTTACTATGGCAATGGTTGCTTGGAGCCCTGCCTTTGTGTGAATGGAGGGGTGTGTGACACGGTGACGGGAGAGTGCCACTGTGCGCCCGGATACATGGTGAATGGACAGATACAATCACAAACAAAACAACTTCCTCAATACCACGTAATATTCCACATTAATATTCCTGTGTGTGTGTAGGGACTACACTGCCAGAAGCTTTGTGAGGATGGTTTCTATGGGAAGGGCTGCTTGTCTCCCTGTACCTGTGTAAACTCTATAGCCTGCTCTCCCATCGATGGAACATGTTTCTGTAAAGAAGGTAAGTTCTGGTCAATGAATCCAGAGCATCAGTGAGTCAGTAAACAAGTCAAGGAAAAATTAACAGACAAACTGAAGGGGACAATGCTATAAAATACTGTTTACTAATGCTCTTTCGATAAAAAATATTATAAATAAACTACCTACATTATTTATAGAACAGTGTCACCCCAACAGTGTTTTTGTGTGTGCGTGTTTAGGATGGAGAGGACTTGACTGTTCTATTGCATGTTCAGAGGACACGTGGGGTTCTGGCTGCAACTTCACATGCCAGTGTGCAAATGGAGCATCCTGCCACCCTGCCGATGGTTCTTGCAAGTGCACCACAGGGTGGAGAGGAGCTTCCTGTGACGAGCCCTGTCCAGTAAGTCTTTATCATACAGTGCACATGTATTTGATTTATAATAACCGGTTCAGAGATACAGGCAATTCATCTTTAGTCACACTTTTTCCTCCTGTGAACTGAATTTGACATCTGTGTTGTTGTCTGTTCAGCATTTCTGTCTCCCAAATCATCTGCAGTAATTTGATACCATCAGCAAGTTATTAACCTGATGAAAAATGCATAAAGCTCTTTTGCTTAGAGTACATGTTGCATGGCCAACATTCATATTAAAGTAGTAATTATGTTAGCGCTGTATAATCTCACTGGGCAGAGTCAGAGTTACTTGATCGTTCTGAATCAATATTTCCATTCTGGAATAAACAGATCGGGACGTTCGGTTTAGGCTGTCAACACAAATGTGACTGTCTGCATGATGAAGGATGTGAGAGTGTTACAGGCCAGTGTCTGTGTTTACCAGGCTGGACAGGTAGGACTTCATTTGCATTTGTAAGGCCTATTGTATATACCACCGAATAAATAATATGCAAAACATGCAGTGATAAATGCTTAAAGCAGTAGCAGCTTCTGGCTGATCAAATAATGAGTGAAGTAGGTGATGTTAAAAATCACAATTGATAAGCAGTCACTAAGGAAATGGAAGGATGAGCCAAGTGCATTGCATTATGGGATACAGTATTCTGTGCAGTATGCACTGGTCTAAATCAGCAAATGTGGTATGTCAAGTTCGCATGCCTTCATAAAATTTCCATACTGTGAATGGTTTACATATTGCATACTACAAAAATAGTATGAGTAGTGTGCCATTCTATGCACATTTAATTATTCCTATCTATTGATATCACCCATAATGCAATGAAGAACTTTATTTTATATTATATTATATTAATCCCCTCATTTCTGTTGAGATTGACTTGATTTATATGTTTGGTACCCTAGTGGTGCACATGTACATATAATAATAGTAATTTTGAAATCTCTATAGTATGTACACCAGTCAGAGAATCATAAAAATATATCTGCGACCCAAAAAGTGTTATAACAGTTTTTATAGAAGATGGATTAAATCAGGTTAAAGTCTTGTTTATAATCAGAATATTAACACAAAATGAAGTGTGAAACTGATGAAACTTTGCTTCTTTTCAAGTTAACAAAATAGGGCACTAGACCTCTAATAGCACATGCCAGTTTAGGCAACTCATTCGATTTCTTCTGCAGGTCTACGCTGTACACAGCAGTGTCCAGAGGGAACGTGGGGCCTTCAGTGCAACCAGACCTGCTCCTGCCTCAACAGTGCCACCTGTCAGGCACATACGGGAACCTGCCTGTGCAAACCCGGATTCTGGGGAGATCAGTGTCAACACAGTGAGTATATATGTACCTGTGCATCCATCGGCATCTTTGAGAGCTCAGGTCACATTAAAGCTGGTTTAGACAGTGCTCTCTTTTTTTTCTTTGTAGTGTGCAGTGCTGGAATGTTTGGAGAGAGGTGCAGCCGTCAATGTCCACCATGTGTATATGCCTCCTCCTGTCATCACATAACAGGCGATTGTTTGTGTCTGCCTGGATATACTGGACACCTGTGTGAACAAGGTTAGGTGCAAACATGAACAAACTTACTTGGTCATGCAAAAAAAAAAAAAGCCATTATTTATTCACCCTCATGTCATTTTTAGCAGTTATTTTCCATACAGTGACTGTTCATAGTCACCACAACTTTCAAGAGCAAAAAAACACTAAAAGCACTATCAAGGTTGTCCATTAAGTCATTATTTACTGAAAAATAAGAGCATATACGTTTGGAACAACATGAAGGTGAGTAAATAATGACAGAATTTTCCTTTTTGTGTGAATTATCTCTTTAAACCTGTAACGTCCATAGCAGCAAATTGTCTACAGTATAATCCTCTATTTTAAGGCTTGCATAAATCATTTAATTGCTGTTTTTGTTTGATCTCTAGCCTGCCCCATCGGTCGGTATGGACGCCATTGTAGCAATGTGTGCAGGTGCACCAACAATGCTACATGTCATCACCAGGATGGTTTGTGCCTCTGTCCCGCCGGATGGACTGGACCGGACTGCTCTTTATGTGAGTTTTCTTGTCTATGAGAGACTATTTGATTTCACTGGCTTTATTATCTTATGCAAAGTGACATCAGATGTTACGTTTAGTTTTCTGAGAAATATATCAAAATGAAGTTAGGTAAAACAAGAAAAATGTCTGCCAATGCGGTAAGAAAAATAAACTTGTTTTTCTTTTGAATAAAGTTGATTTTTATTGCCCCACTATTTACCCCGATATTTTCTTATTTGAACCAAAAACCTCACTTAATTTTGATACATTTCTCAGAAAAAAAAAACATTTTGTATCTTAAGTAAATATATCTTGATTGAAGAATGTTTAGATTTGTACCGGAAAACAAGACAAAAATACCAAGTAAGAAAATGACTGCATAGTGTGTTGCAATGATTAAGCTGAAGTTGAATATTAAGAGTTGTTTCTCCTAGAAAAGACTGTTCGCCAGATTTCCTGGATGTGGTTTCGGAATAAATAACTCGTATTGTAATTCTCATCTGAAAATACATTTTTATTCCTGGATCAGGCTCAATATGTCTGTCACTATACAAGTTCATCAAACATTGGCCAAATGTCTGTCTTTGCAGTGTGTCAGACTGGGACGTTCGGCACTAACTGTGCTCAGACTTGCTCATGTCCCCCCAACCATTCCTGCGGTCCTCACACTGGAGACTGTGTGTGTGTACCTGGACCAGGCGAGGACTGCAAACCAGGTATTAAAAGCAGCCTAAAAACCTTTGCTTTTCTGTACGTTTTCTCTATGTTGACAGAATGTTAAACACTGAAATATTAATGTCTGTCAGTGTGTGTAATGTGAATGGCTGTGTGTTTTTCAGAGAAAGAACGGAGTATGATGGTGCCCGTGTCTCCGGTGGAGAAGGACTCGTTGGGTGCGATCGCAGGAATTGTGGTGCTGGTGATTCTGGTTGTGCTCCTGTTGGCTGTTCTGTTGTTGTATCGGCGCAGACAACAGGACAAACAGAGCAACACTCCCGTTGTGTCTTTCTCTTCAACCCGCACTGTCAGTTCAGAGTATGCTGTGCCAGGTATGAGCCACGGGAGTTTTTGATACTTTCAGTAGTGCCTCAATTAATTTGCAGAAATGAAAGACTATGACGAATTGTTATGCTGAAAATCTGATATATTTATAAGCATTTTTATTTGGTATTTGCTTATTTCTTGTAGATGTTCCGCACAGCTACCATCACTATTACTCAAACCCGAGTTACCACACGCTGTCTCAGAACAGACCTCCACTGCCACACCTGCCCAACAACCAGGACCAAGCCATCAAGGTGAGTAATATCATGGTATTATATGTATAATAACATGGTATATACCATGTTCGGAGTAGCATATTAGCATCCTACTCTTACTATATGAATATTGTGCACAGTATGTAAATTGTTATTAACCAACTATGAATTTTGTTAGCTATGTCACAAATTGCTTCTGATTTTACTAATTTGTAAGTCACTTCGGATAAAAACACCTGCTGAATTAATAAATGTAAACACTAAAGTGAAATGTTCAGTGTATCCCAGAATGTAGTCTATTAATTCAACCTTGCATCTGCAATGTAATGAATTTATGAGATAAAAAGTCGATTAGTAAAAATTAGATAAAAAGTGTTAAAATTGAGATCAAATTTATGAATAAAAATCTCATAATTTTCACTTTTTATCTCTTTATAAGACTTATGTCATAAATTCTACTTTTTAATATTATAATTATGAATTGTCATAACTATGATTTACCAAGGTATGTTTTTCTTATGTGGGGGAAATGCACTTCTATAAGAAATTGACTTCCATAACAATTGGATATTCTTTACTTTAAACAATTATTTATGCATAACCCTCTAATAAACAGTAGTGGGCTGTGCAGTAAGTTAATTAATTGATTACATATTTAAGTTTTATTACTCATTTCTGTTTTTGGAGCAGAGCAACAGATTATACTTAATTATTTTTGTATTGATTTATTTTTTTAACTTTAAGTATACAAAACCAGAATTTTGCACATATAACAGAAACGACTTCCTTTATGTCTCATGCTTTGACAGAACACCAACAATCACCTGTTCTGCAGTCTGAAGAACATGGAGAGGGAGAGGAGAGGTCTGTTTGTGGCTGAGACTAATGCAACTCTTCCTCCAGGCTGGAAACACCAGGAGCCACCTAAAGATCCATGTAATGGATACTGGGAAACAGTTTCATCATATGACCACACTATATTTTTAGTTTGTTCTGTGCTGTGCGGTTGTCCGAGTAAATTGGATGGGCTATTGTGTTTGCAGGGGCTTTTGGCATTTATCGAAGTTACAGCTATAGTGCTACTCTCGGGAAGCACTACAACAAAGGTAGGTACAACAAAGTCCCCCACATATTATTCTTCTATATGTTCTTCTATCTTAGTTGTGTCTAACATGCTGTGGTCGTTGCAGAGTTGAAAGATTCATGTGTGGCAGTGAGCAGCAGCTCTCTGAACAGTGAGAACCCATATGCCACCATCAAAGATCTGCCTGGCCTGCCACCTTGTCCTCCGGAGAGCAGCTACATGGAGATGAAGTCTGCAGTGCCTCGTGAAAGATCCTACACTGAAATCAGCCCACCAGTCATGACTCCTTCCACTCTGTCATGCAGAGGTAATTTTCTCAAAAGAAATTGGATATTACTCTGTATGTGCTGAGGGATTTGAGAGTGTTGACAGAAAATATATTTATATTATATTATATATTTTTATTTTATATTTTGAAATATATTTACTAAATCTTAACCTCATTTTTTTTTTCTGGCCAAAATATATTTTAAATATATACTAAATATATGCTGTAAACAGCACTACTGTTCTAAATCTAATTGAAAATAGTGTTGTCAAAAGACCCGGTATTTTGGTACCAAGTCGGTACTAAAAAAATGAAAACGTTACGGTACCAGGTTTTTTATATATTTCGTATAAACTTTCAAATCCCAAAATATATTACAAAATGTATTCCTAAGGGCCAGAAAATATATAGTCTTAAAATTTATTTTGGCTAAATGCAAAGTATATTTTTAAGTGTTGACAAAATATATTTGAAAAATGGCCAAATTATGTAAGGAAATATAAATAACTAAAATGTCTCAAAAATACATTTATGCAAATATATTTAAAATCTATTTTCTGAGCAGTTTTGCATACTTTGACATATATTTAAAAGTATAAAATTTAAATGTTAATATTTATTTATATTTTTGGCCATTTGGGTTCATGACAACATGATGGCTTTGGAGTGTTGTCTCAGATCGGTGTGTCATGTATCACATCTGGTACAACATTTAAAATATATTTGTTCACTGTATTTCAGAACATTTCAGAAGTTCCCTTGGCAACGTTGTGGAACAGGAACCTCAGAATCATTATGATCTGCCCATCAACAGTCACATTCCTGGGCATTATGATATGCCTCCAGTGCGGAGACCACCCTCTCCATCGCCACGAAGACTGCCCCACTGATCTCCTTAAAGACTTTGGTTCTACTGTAAAATCACTGCCAAATACAAAGTGTGCTTTACAAACTGAGAAATGAAATACCGCCCACCAGAGATTAATGGATGGATGACACCAAAACTGCGCAATACTACCATCTGCTGGACAACATTAACAACCAAGAGATTTCAACAACAACCAAGAGACTTGGTTCACCGATCACAAGTTGCTGTATTAAATCTTAAGTGGGAAAAACTGCAAAAGAACACTACACATATGCTCATATAAAAGATGTGCAAGTAAAGATATTAATAGGAAATGTCTGGACATTAATGGGTTAAATGCTACATATTTTTCTGTTTTAAATGCTATTTATGTTTCTTAACTAGTCTGGTAATCAGTGTGTAAATGACAATATCATTTTTAACTGCTACAGAACAAGTTTTCATGTTTGTAAGATCCAGCATTGGGAACATTTTGCTATGAATGTCAATTGAGTTCAACCATAAGAATTGTAAATAGTGTAAATAAAACCTTAAGTTTTCAAGCACAACTTGTCATGAATCTCATTAATGTCTGTGACTAATTGGATACTCTTAACCAAAAATTAAAATTCTCTCATTTACTCACCCTCATGGCAACCCAGATGAGATTTGTAGAAAAATAATCCATCCGCGGAATGTGCAGGTATGTGGTGTGTAGCTCCTGCAGGATTTGTTTTTTGTAAGGTTTCTTTCTGATTCCTCCAGGTTGACGCTTCGAAAACCACGCAAAACGAACACAACTTTAATCCATACGACTGCAGTTGATGAAACAATGTTTTCTGAAGCGAAACTATAAGGTGTGGGCTTGTGTGTGAAAACTAATATATTCAACTTTTCACAATATAAACCATCACTTCCGGCTAACTGTCAAACACGTCATCTTGAGCTCACGTTTGAGATAAATGTCAGCACGCTGTGAAACGTCATGTATGCGCGTTTTGTGAAACTCTTAATCGTAATCAGTAGATAAAGGCCTAAACATGTAACCTTTCATCAATCAATACATACAATACATGGCTTCTTACTGAAAGTCCCGTCATTTGATGGTATTAAAAACAAGACTACAATAAAATAGCCTAAATTATATAAAAATAAATTATTCAATAAAAGTTTCCATAAAACATTTTAAATCAAAGTCAAAATCTAAGTCAAATGTTTTGCGTACACACAAGCACACTCCACGCACACACACACACACACACACTGACACACATTTGGAGAGCAACTGAAAAATTCAGAACTGCTTTATTTTCAACTGAAAAATTAAATGCACAGTTTACAGGTTTCACGACAATTATGACATTTCTCACAAAACAGTATAAAGATAAAGACAAAAAAATCAACAAACCATTCTCTCCATTGCTCTGCAGTCTGTTTTTTTTATACAAAACCTTCATGAAATTTGCCATCTAACCAAAATCAACATTTCAAAATAAAGGGTAAATTATTATTTCAGCAATCTAGAATTGGTTATCAATAATTGTTTCTTCGATTAAGGCAATATTGCCAAAGATGCCAAACAAATACATTTGCCATTAACAACAACTGAAATCCATTATCAGTTTAAAAACAAAAATACATGGCTTATTACAATAATGTCAATGGCTATTTAAGCAGAAATACAAAATCACAATTCTTAAGTATACATAGAAAAAAATAGATATACTATCTCAAAATTCTCCTTTAGAATCCCAAAGCTTTGCAAAGCAATAAAATAAATGTTTAATGTTGGCAATATCCAGTCCTCTTCCTGGAGAGCTGTGGGGAGGCTTGGTTATGTTCTTAATTTCCTATGATGAAAACTGTTCCAGCTTTCTGATACCAATTTTTGTTTTAAGTCAGTAATTTGATTCTCAGATTGCCCTAAACGGACTGGACGTGTGCAGTGAAGGGAAGGACAGACTACTCAGATTACTGGAGCCTTACAGCTGTCCAGGTGAGGAACTGGACCATCTACTGCAAGAGAGGAGTGACAAGAGCAAATCAACACTCAGTCCCATAGAGAAACACAAATATTTTGGTGTACATGTAAATATGAGGTTTCAATAAAACTCAAAATTTCAAGTGTCATTGTAAAAATAATAATAATATTAATAGAACATTAAAGCTAGGAATAACGGTGGTCATTTTGCATATTTAAATATTCTGCCTCTAAGCTTGAAAACAAAAATACATCTCTTTAAACCGGCAATAGTTTAGTACTCAGTACTTTAAACACAACATGATTCTCTGGTAACATAATACATCAGATATGTTTTTCTCAGCAAGTAAACTTCAAAAGTTTTCCTTCTAAAACAATAAGCTTTTGTTTAACATCTTGGCAATTGCAAACTGCTAAGGAGATTCTCTTTGGATTAGATTTATAGTTGCTTCAAGTCTTTCAGAAACATCCCATAACACTTATTACATAAGACACAACATACTGCAGTCTAGTCAGAGCTTGTAAGCACACTGCCAAAAGACACAAAGTTCCTATTCAACTGTGCAACTGTACCAAGGCACAAACCAGTTTCACATCCAGAACATCTGTATTAATATCCTGGAGTTTTACTTTAACAAAACTGCATAGAATTACTCACTTTCCTTTCCCTTTTGTAGGTGCACATAATTTTAATCATGTCACTGTGAGAGGTAGCATGAAAATACCATAAAACCTACTGACAAAGTTTGGGACAATAACGAATGAGCTCTCATTTCCTGTCTTAAATTAACTGATGCTCACTGTTTGTCCTCGTATGTGAGTTAGATAACCAGTCTGTGCTAAGGCTGGTTATAATGAGAGTTTAGTCATGGAGGTGAATCGACTGTGCGTGTTGCGTTCCGACAGCATTTCCGTTGAGATTCCATGGTGTGAGTGTGAAGTGCTCCGTTCGCCTCTCTCCCTGAGTGCAGTACGATTATTTTGAAGCTGCTGCCAGGCCACCATGCAAATATATTAGAGTAACACTGTACATAATAATAGCAAACTACAGCCTACAAGCCTTATGCCATACAAAAGCCAAAAATCTACCCCACAGATTATGAAATACAAAACAAAGACTGAAGTACAAAATATATCATGTAATAATAAGACAAGTAATCCAAAAAGAAACTAATTGTTGAATAAATTCCTCCTGGTTCGTGTGAAAGAACAGATGGCCAGGGCTGCCTACAGCTTGTCTACATAATGGAGCAGTTGTCTAGTTTGGGTCCAGCCTGAGAAAGAGAGAGAGAGAAATTAATGTAAATTTAATAAAACTGCTGAAAAACATTTCTTATTACAACACTTTTGTTTTCAGAAGTAGCAAACAAATAAATAAAATACATAAAAAATTATATATATATGTATATGTATATATATATATATATA